GATGTTCATTCCTTCATATTCTATTAAGCATCTGAGATTATGTTTGAAATATATTGGAATAATCAGCACTTGAGACATATTCATTTATACCAACAGGATCTGGTGATGATAATATCCTTGTAATTACACCACTATGAGCATTCTCAGCAAAGACATAATTTTTTTCTATCATGATCCTTTAAAATATTTATAGCTGTTGGTTTACCACTGTATCAGAGTATTTCCTTTCCCTTTAGCCTATCTAATACACTTTCCTACAGAATGTTAAGAATCTGGTATTTGAGATTCCTTGGTTAATAAAAAACAGTTCATGGCTAACAGTTGACTTGATATAATATGTTGTAAACAAAGCAGCAGTTTTTTTCCATCTAACTTACAGAATTTTTGGAGCTATGTGACAGCTTCTAAAGCACAGACATGAAGACAGAAATTAATTACCATTTTACTACAAAAGACTATGGGCAACCTTCTGCCCTCTTACTCCAAGACGCTATTTTCAGGGGATTGTGATTGGATAGAGTCCTTCTGCTGGATCTCTACATAGAAATAAATTTTACTCTGGCTGAACTATCTTGAAGGAAATATTTTTACTTGGAAGATTAATGAACGCCTTCTGCTGAATTACTTGTTCACCCCAAATTCCATCTCCTTGGTATATAAGCAGCATGTATTTGAAGGCAGTAGCCCATGTAGGAACAGCTGTGGTGGTTAGTGAAGGCTTTCCTCAATCCAACAGCTGAAAAGGCACTTTTATCTGACTTCTTTAAAAGCTTCAATTTCACTAGAGGTGCATCAGAGGACTGAGGGCTTAGATTTGGTGAGACTGATGAAATGACAAAGTGTGAGAAAGAGTATTTGTAATCCAGCACATGGAACACTGGTTTTTACGTGAAATCCTGGTTCATGTCTCGTCAAAACTGTATGTATGCACCTGTTTGTTTTAAAAACTGGAATTTTTTTATGATACAAATTACTTAATCAAAAACATGCATTACATAATTAGTTTGACATTCTTATCTTTGTTACTCCACAATTTGCATTTAAAAATAAGGTGAACTGTAAGAAATGATATAAGTAAAGTCTTTGTGGGTTTCACTGAGTTCACATCTTGAGTTCTGATCAAAGAGAAAAATGGCCCTCCCCTGTACTATTGTACAGTAATATAACTCAACATTTTTCCTTTCCCTCACTATGGAACTTATCTCTCTTTTCTATCCATCTGTTCATTTTCATTTATTCAGTACCTCTGAAGTTTTCTGTTCTGTATCATATGTAATCAACATTAATTAACAGATCCAAAATATACTGTGCAGGGCCTAGAGAGAAAGTGATGACATCAACACTAAGAAACCTGTCTGAAAACCAGAGCAAAATTGAACCAATGCAGCACATGCTAAATTAATGGAACTTTGGCACCATGATAGATATCAGCTAGTGATTTGGCAATAAGAACTATCACCCCTTGTGTTTTTTTCCCAGTCATCAAGGAGGTTTTGGTAAAAACAATCATCATTATATGTTTTAACTATGTGGAAGCACAAATAAAATTCTTACCAGCAAACTTTGCATATAACACAAAACCCTTGCAATATAACTGATGAGGAGGACAGGTTTAGCTCTGCAGAAGAGCATGAATCACATGCTAGACTGTGCCCACGTTATGGATGATAATGTATGACACATTTACCAGTGGCATTTATATTTCAGAAAACAGTGACTTGAAAGCAAATTTGAGCTGAACATGAGCTCAAAATGTGATAGAGAACTAAGAACACAGTGAAGTCTTATATCTAAAAGGAGAGAACTACTGAACAGAAGAGATGGTATTAACACATGATGATTTGTTAGTGAAAATCTTTATTCAGTTCACCCAACTGCACTAAAATGACAGGAAAAGTCCAGAAAAGAATGATGAAGAGTATTAGCAACCTGGAAAATCTTCCTAATTCTGCAAGTAAAGAAGTTAAAACTATTTAAGCTTGGGTAGCTTAAATATATAGTAATACATTAAGCTAGTGGATTACTTTGCAGAACATTATCTTTGCTGTGCTGGCTGCCCACAAGTTCTTAACCTTGTGGACAACACAAGGTTGTTTTGTCCTCAAGGAAAAGGGCGTTAGCTGTTTTACATTCATATGGTTAAAGGTGAACACAAGAACCTCTGCTGCAGAGAAGCTAATGTACTATCTTCTTGTTGCCTGACAGTAACTTACCCTACAGTGCCACATCCTCAGTGAATTCAAAAGTAGGTTAGATATGACGTGGTCAAGACACAAAAGTACAAACATGGGAAACTGTCATATTTTTGTGGTCTATTTAAACTAACACAATCCAGCAGCTGGAAGCTGAAGCTGGAAACACTGAGACTGGTAATTAAAACCTAGTTTTCTAGAGATGTTACATCTATCAATGGTGTTCTTGAGGCTAAAATTGCAAATGCTTCTAAAGGCTCACATAGAAATTTTATCTTTGATACAGGAAATACCTTAGAAACATCTTGAATCTGATTTGTCCAAGCAGTCACATTGCACAAATAATGACATTTCCTTTTAAAAATCAATGTATTTATAAGCACAGATAGTTTCAAGGTTGCTTCTGTCTCCTTGACATGTGACCCCAACAGCAACCATATTCTCAGGAGCATAAATGAATATCCCAGAATGTCTGGACTGAAAATCAATTTATGGATTATACCTATGCTGATTTTAAAAGATCCTTTATAAATTATTATTTCTTTATAAATCACCCTTATAAATTAGGATTTGATCATAAATAACAGTCATGAGGCAATGAGATTAAAGTTAGGAAAGGCACGCTGAAGGTTGAGCTCTTATTCTTGCATGCCAACATCCCGGCTGATTCCATTAGCATACAGCTGAAATGTGAGCTTGTGAACATCTTGCCATCACTGAAGACACATCTATAGAGGGATTTCCCAAGAGTCATGTATGTAAGATGTACACAATGCCTATTTGAAGTTTTTTTGTGACAGTTATGTTTTTTCTGATCATTAATCTGCTTCTGTGCTGCTTCATAAAACATTGCACTCACCATTTCCTTCTCCTTAACAGCTTTCCTCTTGTTGTTGCCTTTAGACAGTAAAAAAAGGAAGAGGAAATCCATTTACTTACAGCTGAAATCCTGTCCAAAATCCCTGTTGCACTTTGAGTGCTACAAAAGCCCACAGAAAAAAACACTTCTTGTCATCTGAATCCACAGAAGAGATGAGCTTCAGTGGCTGAACTGAGGTAAAATTTGCACATGATTTTTAATTTCACTGTGGAGTCTTAGGAAAGTACATCCCACCCTATTTGCCTTGGCTTTTCTTCTTTGAGGGTTAAAATTATATTTTCAGGATCATGCAGGGTCACTTTTGGGTTTGCACACACAGACATCCAAACACACATACACATGTACATTGATGCATATTAAAGGACTTGCAGAAAATTTGAGTCCAAATCTGACAGGAATCATTGCTCTGTCAAAAATCTCACTGCAGGAGCCTTAAACAGCAGCACTCTCAGCTTTCCAAGTGCAGGACTTGATGTACGAGGTTAATCACAAAGATTCATTTTGTTGAGGGATCAGAAACCCAAAGCTGGCTCTATATAATACCTAAATCCCTTAATGCAACCAGCAGAGCCACAGTACTTCTGTCCTCTAAAGCTGGTACTTTCTATTAATTCAAGATACCTGTGCATTCAGCTTTCTTTTCAGGCCAATTGCTAGAGGAAGAGTTTTGCAGTTGGAAGGAAGGGAAACTCACAGTTCCAAAAGACAGGAGATAAACTGCTGGCCCCTTCATAGTTAATAGAACTTTTATTACTCCCTTCAGTGCAGGATTTCACCAAATCCGTTTGATTATTTAAAGTTACATTTCTGTATCCTTTTCTATACATTTATTCACATGTAAATGAAAAACAGAAACACTTCTGAACTCTGCTTTCACATGCAGATAAAAGGTTTTTCCAGAAAACAACTAACATGAAAAATTGCAGGCATCTGTGTATTGTTCTCTAGTAATTTCTATGATGTAAATTCAAAGCTCCAATCTATTGACTCCTAAGACAACTTCACAGAAAACTTCATATCATGCCAAGACAAAATCCTGCCTGGAACTCATCAGAACAGATACTCAAAACCTGAATCTGAACTTTTTCCTTTAGCATGACTTCTATGAAAAATCAGCAAAACACGTGGTAACCTTACAGCTGATTACACTTTTCCATCTCACCATGAAGGCAGGGAAAATGGAATGGAATGACTTGTGAAGAGGACAATGTGAACATGATATTCCTGGACCAGTCCCTTTTCTCTGTATCACTTCAAATACATGGTGAAAGCTGACTTATCATATTAACATTTAGGGACATCATTTTGTAATAATGGCTGGGAGATATCTTTGTTCATACCATTCTGTTAAAGGAATGACCTGAACAGAAAATACACTTTGCATGAATCTCCCATTTATCAAAATAACATCATACAGTAATCAGAGTGTGTAGAAATTACAATGCAGCTTGTGGAAACACAGCACAGGCTGTAATTCTTGAAAGGGTTCAAAGAAACAAAGAAACAAACAAATAAATAAACAAAAAAGATCCATTAGGAAGTCTGAAGACAGAACAAACATGGTCAGTTTCTTCTGCACCAAAAGAACCTCCATATGTTTTGAGACATTTGCCTTCTGTCAAACTATTTGGCTAGTTCATGATATTGCTGAAACAATTGTAAAATAGACATTAATGTATTTATAGCAAACAGATATTATCTGGTTAAAAAATGGAAATATTTAGCAAAAAAACCCACAAACATGAGCTACTTATGTCCTAAAAATGATGAATGACAGGTGATCAGATGAGATGGAAGTTGTAGTAAAATGGATATATGGTTACAAACTCTTTTATCAAAAATGGCTTTGCTGCTTAAAGGATGGTCACATTCTGTTACAAGTTGAGCGTGAGTGTATGTAAAAAGATAAGGACACTATCTACATTTACCTACTCTGATCCCAGTTGGCTGCAAAAAGCAGAAGAATCTTCCTGCCACAGTGGTCACGATTTTCCAGTACTCCTGGGAACCCATCTGTCAGAGCCCGTTTGATTCCTGGATCATCAGCCTTGAAGTTTTTGAACATATCCAGGTTTAATTGGCGGTACTGGAAGTACTGAGCCAGCAGTCTGAAGGCCTCAGTTTGGTGAAACTTTCTGGCTCGGAGAAATCTCAAGATGAAGGCATCATCTGTACGTAAAAACCCAATGTCAGGCCTCGTGATGATCATGTCCCTGACTTGCTGGATATCCTGATGCAAAATGTCTGGGTTTTCATTCAGTTCCAGGCGGGCTTTCTCTATAGTCTCTGGACTAAGTCCAGCTTGTAAGTGGGTCATCTCTGCAAAAACCTCTTTTCCAAATCCTTAAATTCAGATGCTTTAGTAGAGGTGCTGATCCCATTCAAGTGATGGTCTGCTGTGAGTGTGAGCCATTCAGATGCTTTTTCCCATCAAGCTGATATTTAACAAATGAAAGCAAAGGGCTTTTCTTATTCTTGTGGAAAGAGTAACAGGCAGTTCACATGTAGTATAATCCATCCAAAGGAAAGTGTTGTTTATTCCATCACCTACTAAAAGAAAAGGAAAATATATAAAAGAAAGACTAAATACATATATAAAGCTTGCAGGAATGCATTTCTGAATTTAGATAGACATAAAATTTCTTTGTGTGCTTTATATGTATGAGGATACCAGTCAATTTCAGAATGAGTGCATTTAAGATAAGGCAGTCACTAACATCTTGAATGTATGTATTCAGGCTTTCAGAAAAGTAATATGATTTATTGACAAAAAATACTAAGCTGTATCAACTTACTATTGGAATACACTGTGCAACGTTGTCTTACAGAAGTGGGAGTTGCAGCATCCCATAACTTTAAACCAGGAATGACAAAGGCAAAAATAATAGTAAGTTTTTTCCACCCCAACAGGAACAACATTTCAGCTTCATAAGTACTCAGATTTACCCTCATCATACTAAGCAGAACAACTATTTGATTTGGTTTTATCAATTGTACTATCAGCTTGTAGCTTTCCTTGAATTAAACACTAAGCTGACTGTAAAACTGATTTTTAAAAAACCAAAAACTCCACCAACACCAGGGATAATTTCTACTTTGTAGAACCTCACTGAAGGTATTTCCCATTGAGACTTAATACATCTTCATTGGAAGCTCTACATGAATATGGTATTTGATGTATCTAACAGACAGGGCTGGTGTTTTAGTTGAAAAGAGATGTGTTTTATACTAAATTTTTTTTTCCAGTATATTGTAGCTTTCCTGAATACCTAGTTCTGAATTTCATTTTTGTTTCTGTACTTTACCTAGTATTTGTTTTTACAAGTGTTAGAAGAAAAGCTGCTTAAGACGTTATGTATGAACAAATCGGTACAGTGCATCTCTTACATTTCAGTGACATAATTAAGCAAGAAGCTGTCATCGAAGTCTATGTAGTTACAGTTGTGTGAAATAAGATCAAGGTCTGTCCCAATGTGATATGTGTGTGAAGAAAGATCAAGACCCATACAATTTTTCAGCCATCACAGAAACAGACAAGCGAATACCCCTCCCTCCACTGCTTAACTGATCTCTCTCTAATTTCTGAAAATTTGGTTTTAAAAATTAAAAGGGAATCCCTCAGTGACAGACATACTTTTTGTATTTGAAGAAAGCTGTTTGGAAAGTTATGAATTATTTATAGCAAAACAACCATTTCACTCAGCTACTCCCCTGGGTTCAGCATTCTCAGATCAAACAAAGGGGAGAGCAGAAGCCAAAGCATTTTTTGGTCCAGAGTTTGCTCAAAGTTACATTCCAGGACCTGGAAGTCAGTCAGCACAAGGGATGCCTCAGTTCCCTGTGTTGTGACCTTGCATGTTATTGATAAAAACTACATTTTAGATGCCACAGCTGCAGTCCCAGGATGAGATCCCAAAATTTGAATACAGAGAGTTTCTGCATATTTGCTTAAAGGACATTTGTGGTGGGAGATAAGCTTTTCATTTAACAGCAATGTGAATTGGACTTTTTTGTAGGTAACACAAAGGAGAGTTTATTAAGCATCCTCTTTCTGTATTCACTGTGGAACTGGAACTGAAAAGAGCTACCTGCAGGGCAGAGTATCTGGTGATTGATCAGCCTGGGAAAACTTCAGGAAAGGCAGAGTTGGGAGAATAGAAGGCTTTTACAAGGCACTACAGAGTGCAAATGACTCCAGAAAAAAAGTCCTCAGGTTTTGAAGGATAATTTATGGGTGCAGGCTATTCAATCCTGAAAGAAATAAGAGCTGTATTAAAGGTGGATTCCTCATATAGAAATAAAGTAACAGCTATTTGCTTTGCTCTTGCCTTTATTAGATCAAATTAGAATAACTCCTATAGTATCAAGTGAATTCCACAGATGTAAAATTGCAGTAGGCCATAGGGAAACTAAGCCAATATTTTGTGACTGAGATCTCAAATTAATGGTGACACTAGCATTTTCTTGCATGAATCACGGTTTTAGTTACAACTGTCTCCATGAGCTAGTTAGGGGAGCTTGGGTGTGATAATGTCATTGGGGGAGTGTGGGACAAGGATTGGTCCCTCTCTAGTTTAAACAGCAAATAGTAGAGTAAGGAAACTATGCTAAAGGGTACTCAGCAGAAGAGTGGAAGCAAGAAGCTTATCTGGGGTCTGCATTAGCTCTGGCTCACGGCCCAGCACTCCTGTGGCTTAGAATCTCAAAATAATGGAATCACAGGATGGTTTGGGTTGAAAAGGACCTTTGGAAATCATCTGGTCCAACCTCCTTGTCATGAGCAGGGACATCATTCACTGAATCAGGTTGTTCAAAATCCCATTCAACCTAGCCTTGAACACTTCCAAAGACTGAGCATTCACAATTTCTTTGGGCAACCTATTCCATAGTCTCACCACCTCTATCACAAAAAAATTTCTTCTTTATATTCAATGTGAATCTGTCTTTTTTCAGTTTAAAAATGTTAGCCCTTGTCCTATTACTACAGACCCTAATAAAAAGTCTCTGACCAGCTTTCTTATAAGTCCCTTTTAGGTACTGGAAGGCTACTATAAGGTCACCCTGAAGCTTTCTCTTCTGCAGGCTGAACAACCCCAACTCTCTCAGCCTGTCTTCACAAGAGAGGTGATCCAGCCCTCTGATCATTTTTGTGGCCCTTCTCTGGACCTATTCTAATATGTGCAAGGGCTAGTGGCAGATAACTGTGTCACACACTCAATCCCCAGTGGAATCATCCATTTTGTGGGAGTTTACAGGGAGTAAAACTGCTCTTTTTCTGACTCCCACCTCCACCAAGATTCTTTCGAAATAAGGCAAATTTCTGAAAGGTCAACTACAGTCTGCTCCAGAAAGAAAAATGAAATTTGACCAAGGACATAAAATCTGGCCCTTCTTATTGGATCCCCAAGTATTTAATGTCAAAAATTATGCTACTTATTTTCATTAAAGTTGCCTACCATTTTTAACCAAATTAAATGCCCAGGATTATCCTAACTTGAGGGAGATACAGTCCTTTCCTGTCAGATGTTGTTGCCAAAAAAGCAACTTACAAATACTCAGTCTAACAAAAGATATATTTTAAAATGCATTTCAGAATTTTCTGATAGTGAGCTGAGCTATAACCACGGATTACAGTTATCTATAGATTATCCTGATTAGCAGCCGGAACACACTGCACTGAAATATTTTATTGGTGTGAAGTTATATATTGCAAAATAATCTAAAATATGTGTGAAAAATTTTGTTGCTATTTTAATCGTAACACAAATCATGAGGTTAGGAATCCACTCTCACACCATTGCCTTTAAGGAGTCTGATATACATCAGTGGATGAGTTTGTACTCCCACTACTAACCTTGACAATAAGTTTAATGCTCCGTAGCTACCCAGTTTAATTGTCACTGCACTTTCTCAAATGGTACTGATTTATTCTGATTCCCAAGGTATAAGAGACCATTTTCACCCCCTCCTACCCATGGTAATTTCTCCTTCTCTTCCAGTGTTGTGTGCAGTTCTCATCCATCTGCCAATTTGTCAGATGTTTACATCTTTGTTCAGTTTGGTTCAGGGTTGGTTTATCTTCCAAATGAAGATGCTGGCTTTTTTTCCTTACCTTGAATATTGTTGCTGCATGTTGGCAGACTAGACTGTTTGTTATAGTCTCAACAGCTGTTTTTCTATCTTGTGACTCTTTGTTCCCAAAGGACTATTTGCTCTCCTAATGTCTTTTCACAGCCACTTGCAATAAATCATCCCTCCAAAGGAAAAAAAAAGCTTTAAAAAAAAATAATTACAGAGATTTGAAACACAACATACTTATACCCAAAAAGGACGGAAATTTCCACCAAAACTGTGGTGTCACATACCATTTTGGTTTACTTATTTTCCATCCCAACAAGAGAATGACAAGGGACAGAGAGTGGCTTCAGTAGCATACTGAAAGTGGGATACAGTTTTCAGAAAACCAGCTTATATTTTTGCATGACCCTCCATGAAAAAGAAAAAAATTAGTTAATAATAAAATGTATAATAATACTGTACAAACAAAAATGAAAATAATGTATTACGGAATATTTTAATATGCTTTACTGCTCTCTCTTCAATGACAGTTTCTGAGTCAGCATTCAAGTCCTATTTGCTCTACATCCCCTGGAAGATTGGCCAAAACCAGCTCTCAATAATGATGGCATTTATCTGGATCATTTTGTTCCTGCCCACGTAGCTGTCCCTGCAATATCACTTGCTTTTTTTGAGCACTTCATGTCCATTTGGCCCTTCCCCATCCAATTCAGTTCCAGAAAGATTTTAGTTGTCTCTGTGTCTACCAAGTGTTTTCATTCAGTCCAAAGCTATATGGAGTGTGAAATTTCATTACCACAGTTTTCAAATGGAGAAGGAACCAGCGTTTGATCCTTACCTGGTATTAAGAGGCATCACTGCTAAGGTTTGGCTCATTATATAATTCCTAACTCCTAGCATTCATACAGATATTAGCTGCTAAAATCATGCCAGAGAGGAAGGGAGTGGGCAGGAAGGGAGGAAAAATGGTAATATAGAATGATTTCATCTCAGAGAGTGGGTGTCATCTCATTAAATTGCTTTTTGAAAAATATTTTGATGTTAACTGTGGAAAACCTCTTGGGGCTATGTTCTGCTTAACAGAGGTTGCTTCATAAGGTCTGGGTAGGATGAATCCACACCTGTACCTATAGGAATGGTTCCTATGGCACTTCGTGGTCTTGGGTTACCTTAGTAGGAACCTGCTCTGGAAATGGATTGGTAAGACATAGAAAGGGAACTACTCCAGCTCCCTGAACTACTTATGAAAGAGCAATGAGAAAAACTGATTCTCTCTTGTCCTTGATGGCAAGATCATAGCATCTTCCACAGATTGTGGGGAGAAGCACAGCCCTGACTGATTTGCCTGAGATCATGGAGGACACATTTCACATAGCTGGGAACAGATCATATGTCCTCTGAGCCACAAGCTTACACATTAACATCTGGGAAATCTTTCCTCTCTATGCATAATGCTCTGCATCATAAGAAAA